AGGGGAACACTGCAACGGTCATAAGTGTGAGGATCAGTTGTAAGTCATTTTTTTTCGGTGACAAATGGGTACTAAGAGAATGGTTGTAACCCGAGGACTAGCTGCATTCTCTGTTGTGCTCTGTCAGTCCTTTAGAGTGGTTGAAGTAGCAGAGAAGGATTTGTCGTAAGAAAATAAAACCAAATAAATAAGTGAACAATGACAAGGTCCAGGAGCTCTCTGTGGTTTCAGACAGAGCTTCCCCAAATTTAATTGAGAATCCAGGCTTTGAACCTACATATGTAACCATTCAAGAAACAGAATTTGGAGAATAGGAACATGATTTGGGGATTATTATTAGACCTCAATGCACCCTTGCAATTCTGTGTGGACTGAACTATAGATATGTGCCCAGGTATGTTAGTTAGTTAGAAAGCAGACATTTTTAATATGGCGATGGGTGCCTAAATGGAATAGACCAGTGATGGCGAATCTTTTGGAGACCGAGTGCCCAAACTGCAACCCAAAACCCACTTATGTATCGTCAGGTGCCGGGTGGGCGTAGCCCATTGGGTGAGTGTGGCCATTTGGGTGGGCGTGGCCCATTGGGTGGGCGTGGCTGCAGTGGTAACGGCAGACTGGGAGGGACTAAAAAGTTCAATCAATCAATTTCAACTTTGTGAGATCTTTTTTGTCCCGCGAGAAGTAGAAATTGATTGATTGATTGAACCTTTTTTTTTTTTTTTGCACACGGCGGCAGAGGCCTAAAGCGAAAAGGTTTTATAAAACCCAGCTGAAGGCCTAGGACTGGGGCGACGCTGCACGTGCCCACAGAGAGGGCTCTGCGTGCCACCTGTGGCACGCGTGCCATAGGTTTTCCACCACAGGAATAGACCATCAGCACTGGAATATGCCAGTTTAGAAAAAGCTGGCAGAATTTACTAGAGTTGTGGCAGGTCAAATTCCCTTTCTTAACCACAAGATGGAGCCATTGGTTGTATTGTAATCAATTGCTAAAAAGCCCCCCCCCCTCTCTCTCTCTCACACACACACACACACACAAACACAAAGAGAGAGTTACAATAATTAAAGTTACATTATAGAATAGAGCTGGAAGGATCCTTGGAGGTTTTCTAGTCCAACCTCCTGCACAAGCAAGAGACACTATACCAGGGGTCTTCAAACTTGGCCCTTTTATGACTTGTGGACTTCAACTCCCAGAATTCCTCAGCCAGGCACGCTGGCTGAGGAATTCTGGGAGTTGAAGTCCGCAAGTCATAAAAGGGCCAAGTTTGAAGACCCCTGCCCTATACCATTTCAGACAACTCCCAGAATTCCTCAGCCAGAGTTTATTTTTATTTATAGTTAAATTTATACCCCGCCCTTCTCCCGGAGGACTCAGGGCGGCTTACAGCCAGTTTAAAACAATCCCACATAAATACCCAATACAAATCTAAAATAATTAAAAATAAATATTTGAATTGGCCGCTCTATTAAAATTTTGTTAAAACCAATTAAAATACCCCCTAGGCCAGTCCTGCCTGCTGAAACAG